CCTACAAAAAAGAGGTTTTGATGCTACGTTATAGGGCCAGCATAATAGAATCACCGATGTATTTTCAACGTACCATTACGCTCTACATCATAGCACAGAGTGGCATAGAGAAGCACTTGCTGGATACACAAATAAAGAGATGATGGAACCAAAAAGTACTCTAGCCCTTTATTTTAGTACTATGCATGATGCTATCACCTCATTTACTCCACCAGTACTGAATCAGCTCTTCAGGAAACCTCAGGTTTTTTTTAATATTGGAATGAGGCAGTAAGTTATTGACATATGGCAGATTTTTCCTTGAGCAGTTACTCAAATGTCATAGAGATAATACATGCAACGAGTGTATGTTTTGATGGAAAAGTACATTGTTAAATATCTCATGCCCTTTGATTTACATCAAACCTTTTCAGGGAAAAAAGTATAGCTGTTCCTCCACAGGACATTTTCTTCAATCTTAATGTTACAGTACTCTGCAAAAACAGCTCTCAGTCAGGAGCAACACACCCCTCAAAGAAATTACTACCAAGAAACAAGGAGCAGGACAAGCATTTGCTTAAACACAGGGGTAGCAGATCCCAGAAAAGAAATGTCTTTCTTCCACTTCCCCATCACACTGTGCAGATCATGTTCCTCTACCGATTAAAACAGACACTCAAATTGCCTTTCAATTTTTTAAAGCGTTGGCTCAGGAGTGGCTGGGACTGCCGGTGCGCACAGAGCATTGGGCAAGATGCCATCTGCCAGCGGCAAGCTCCTACCCGCACTCCCAGAGCCAAGGCAGCTTCCAGTGCTTTGCTTCTGAAAACCCCAGTCCAAAATTTAGGCTGCGCAAGTGTCCGCTCCGGCTGTGTACAGGGCTCCCAAAGCCCCACTCCCTGGCAGGCAGCGTGGCAGCATGACTGTTCTGGTGACAGCAGCTTGTCAGAAGCTGGCTCACTGGATTGCTCTGACATCCAAACACCCAAAGTAAGCATGCCAGCTACCATTACACATACACACAAACCCCAACCAGCTATGAAATGATACACTATAAAAACACATCTCAATCTCAATTAAGAAATGCATGCAAATGAACCCATCAGCTCCAGTTCTACTTCAATTTATGTTTTACTCTAAATCATACATTCCTTCTTGCGACTTACAAGTTTTGTAAATACTCTTATTCTCTATGTATGTTTTATATATAATAGTTTTTCCAGGCCATTCTGCAATTTTGGAAGCAACCATCCAGCACCATAAAATTTTTAACTATTAGCAAGCTTGAACTGATACACATTCACAGAAAGCGTAAGTTTAAATGCCTCTGTTGCTTGTTGCTTCTGACACATTCTTTTTCTCAGCTATTCAAAACACAGTCATCTCAGCAACATGAATAAAAACTATCAGCTGTTCTCAGACTGCTTTTAACTTTCACCCCAACTACCTGTATGGCCATGTTAATCAGGTAACAACCAATAAATCTCCAAATAATACAAGAAGAAACAGAGAAGGTAAACATAAAACAGCATATATGATTAGAGGCTTATAAATATCAAGTGGGAACTTATTTTAGGGCATTGTTTGGTGGGAGCCCTTACAAAACCTCTGTGACAACCTTTCTGCACAAATATGAGTAAAGGTATACATGTATGACTGTAACAATAGGCTTCCATGTGAAAAACCTCAAATATGAGCCCATGGTATTTTTTATTTCTTTTAATATGAAGAAAATTCTCCTATTCCTCCTTTGGCCATGTATTTGCTGTAGAGCAGTCTGACAGTGACTCCTGGGCCACCATCTCCGGGCACAGATGCAGAACCTATTTTTAAAACACCAGTGAGCTGGATTTATCAGGAGGGTGGGACAACTGATGCTTATTTGCAACTTCTCCTCTTACGAACTGTTTCCACAGTTTGGGGGAAGACTCTGTCACTTGCTGTTCCCAGTTTTAAGGCTCTCTGGCTGACAGACTGGATGTGCCATAGTTCTGACTTTACTAATTTTCTTGGCATTTTAAAAGTGCTCACACTCTTCAGCTGGAGCACAGCAAACTACACCAAGAGAAAAAAATTAGACAAACACAAGGGTTGCAAGAAACCCTCAAACTAGATGTTTCTAAATTAAATCTAGATTATTTTAAAAGTGATCATCCATGCTGACTCAGTACCCACTGAAGCTATACCAAGCAGTTTAGCTGTTAAGACTATGCTATACTTTATTCCAGGTCTTTCATGCAGGTGCTCCAAACACCTCATGTATTCCACCATGGACTCGAGAAAAAGAAAAATAAAAAAAAATTGCTAAACATAAATAAGAATATTAAAGGTCATATAAGCTGACTGACAAGAAATAATTAAGAAGTCTAATGCAGTGATTCATTTTCTTGCATTCCCAAATACAGCTCCTTGCCAGTTCTGAAGACCCCAAGCACAGCTGCAAGTTCTCATTCCTTACCATGCCAGCAGCATTTTTTTCCCCTTCAGCTATCAATTAAGCTACTTTTCATAAGTATTTATTTATCTCAGGTCTCACAAGTAAAAGTACACACTAAATAAATATACACAATATATAGGTAACACAAAGCCTATGTTTTATGTTGTATGCATAAATTCACACAAATGGTTTCAAAGTGTGCCACATTATAAATAATCTAGACATGCTGGGTCTAAGCTTGCTTCCTACATAAAAGTTTGTTCAGCAAACAGCACTTTTAGCAGTCAGCAGAGACAGGCGGAGAAGAGAAAGGCTGAGAAGTATTAGCAGATTATAACAAGTTACTGAGCTAAGTATAGATAGAACAGGCTATGTATAGAATGGGTCATGATAAATGAAATTTAATTAGATGAATAACTTAATGTTTGATTGTAAAGTTTCAAATTTTTAAATGGTAAGCTTCTGAAAATGTTGAAGGAAATTATTTCAAAAGTAGACAGTCTTATTTGACCACTACTTCCAACGGCTAATATTAACCAATTTTTTCTCAAAATTCTTCTGTTTCAACTAAGCATACTTTTTCACTGAACTTTCACATAAACAATCTTGTTTTTTCAGCAATCACCTTTAAAGTTTCTAATAAGTTTACTACATTTACCCTGGAGATGCAAAGTAGCAGTATCTATCAGTCAGGTTTTGGTTATAGGTCAACTGTCTGTAAGGATTTTTGTGAAGAGCCAAGACACTGGTATGAAAAGCAAAATAAAACAAAGAACTTGGCCATAAAAATGCACTTCTGTTTCCAACAGATAAAAAGAGAATGATGCTGCATTTACCAGAGAGTTGTCAAGAAAGATGGGGAGGCAACCAGTTCATCTTACAAAACAAATACAGTATAGCAAGCTCAACGTTTATATTTAAGTTCACACTGTATTAACACTGTCTTTATGTGTGGGTGGCAGTGTTTTTTGGCTTAGTTACTAAATCCATATACAGGCAGTCATAAGCCGGAAAGGTGCAATAAAAAGGAATTAAAAATAAATAAAACTGTCTTTACCATGCGGGTCTTGTTCATTTGACTTTGGGCTGCTTCTTGCTCTGCGTTCCGGTTTCTTTACTGCTGGAGCCCCCCCGCCGCCACCTCCACTGCTTGCTCCATTATGACTCTTTGCATAACCATTATATACAGTTGTGCAGCTGCCTATATGGCTTTTGTAGATGGATGAAGGAGGACTATTCAGACGGTTTTGGCGGTCAATCTGCCTGTCTTTGAGTTTTTTGTGCTGTGGTTTGCTGTACTGATCTTCCCTGGTAAAATAGCTGGACATCCCATATAGTGGTATGATTTCTGAAACAGAAGAATTCACCCACATTAACTCAGAACAACAAAATCACTGGGTTGTTTGTTTTTTTTCCAGAAAATCAAAGTCTTGACCACCTCCAAATTAAATGACTCCAGATTTTGTTGACAGATTTTACAGCAAACCAATTTTTTTTCTTAAGAAAAATACTCTGAAGGATTGGCAATTTTTTAAGTGTGCTCCTTTGCTGATAGAACATCTTAACTCTTTGGATGCGTAAAACACAGCAACTAGGGTGATAGTTTTTCCTATTTTCAGCCTTTGTGTTTTAAAAGACACAGATTTCAAGCAAAGATCCAGGGAGACTGCTATTTAGGAAAAAGCCTTCAGAAATTCACAGCTATTTAGCAGTTTCTTCCCCAGGGCCTGACTGGACAGAATAAGCTGAGATGCCCTGGTTTCAAGCTGCCAATCGCTGATTACATGAAATTTAATTTCCCAGTATAAATAGACTTCACAAATTGTGTCAATTGTGCCCGCCTAAGGAGAGAAGCGCAGGATGAAGTGGAAGCTTTGGGTAAGTAAAACTGTCTAAAAAAAGCTTGAGAAACATTATAAATATAATATGTACACTTCAGATACACTTCGTTAAATACAAGCCCCACTTCCCTCTTCCAAGAATGACTATCTCTAACCTAAGGCAGATCAGATTGCAGGAATCGGAACGTTTTCTGCTTTTCTCTGTAGTTCACTCCACTTTTGAGTCTGGAGCTTGAACAGCTCCATGCACAAAACAACATTTTTTCCTTCATTAGAAAAATAACAATCAATACTTGATACAGACTTTATGTATTTTTTTTTCTTCTACATCCATTCAGAAGTTACGGTACAAACTTCTGAAGCAAACATCCTATCCAGCCATTTGAAGTCTTGTTTGTAGGTTGAGATTGCCATGTATACTGTATTATAAGTTTCCAAGTTGCTTCAACTAGCCATATTTTCTTTCGTATTTCAGTGAGTCTTGGCCTTTGTCTTTCTTTATCTAGCTACATGACTCTATTTGTATTCTCACAGCAACTAGCTGCCTAAAACCAGCATGTTGCAAATAAAAGCATAAGCCATTGTACAGCAACTGGGAAATGGTGGATTAATACTTACTAGTACAATATCCACCACTTCAAATGTTTCAGTGTCACAGGTACAGGTCATTCCAGGAAAGCAAACAAGGATTTTTATTTTAAGTTGAATTGGCTTCTTGGTATCTCGAGGCTACAGAAATTATTCAACATCTACTTAACTAGCAGCTCTATGTTCACTTTGTGCACTGAGACTTTTGCATGCAAGAGTCTGTAAAAGCATTCTGATAGACTGTATGTTCCCTTTCCAAGGGAAGTGCCCCTTCCTATGTATCTAGTTGGCTACACAGTCCTACTGTTTTCCTGAGCTACCCATTTCTCACCCACCCAGTATAATGAAGTTAAATGCCAGCTGTAAAGGTTCATTCCTCACTAGAAAATGAGGTCTGTTAGCCAACAGAAACTTCAAGAGGTAGCATCAACAGATACCTCCCCCTATTTCTGCCTTTTCCTTTCCACTCCAGCAGAAACTCACTACTGGTGATGTGGCTTAAATTTATTCTTTAGAAAGGTTCTTAAGCCCAAGTAGGTCAGCACAAATGTAAAACCATGAATCCTGAACTGATTTTCATGTTAACCATCTCAAATAGCTTTGCAGATTACTTTTTTTGGTTAATGCACTCTTTCAGATTACACAAAGACTTATCTCCAGGGTGGCAGAGACACAACAGTGCATAGTTCAGACAGAAATATGCCTCTTTCACTCCTTTTCTTGCAATTATTTACTCATGGCCTGATTAGGGTTGCCATGCTACCCTTTGGTATTGGACAGTGCTTTTCAGTGACTTACTGCACAGTTTCAACTAGAATAACAAACAGAAAATGTCTGCTATTTCTTGGAAAAGCACGGCTGGGGGGCAGAAAACACATTATGGCCAACAGGAAGTGGTATCTGGCTTTTCCCACTGGAAATGACTGCAGCAAGCCATGCTTGGATTCAGCCCTCTCCATCCATCCTCAATGCTGCATCGTGACACAGCAAGAGCAACTGGCATGACTTATGTCCCTAGTATGGAGATGGGATGAGACATTTTTTCCACACTTTTTTTACAAATTAATTTAAGATTGGTGGGATTTTTTGTTCTACAACCTAAGTGGTGCAACACGGAATTGCCCTGTGTTGCTGCACTCTGGAGGACCACACCCACCTGTTCTGGATGCTAAAGGAGGCTCCATCCATATAGAGAAAGCCAAGTTCTCCAATTCATTTCTACTCTTGGTTTCATTAGCCCTTAAAACTTGCTAAACATAGGTGTGAAGTGCCAGTACTTTCCTTCCAGCTCACCTTGTTCTCCATATATTGTTGGGGGAAGATGATGCTGTGGGAAAAACTGTGGTGGCATGTCCCCAGGTCCAGTGACAGGAGGATAAAAAGCTGTATGAGAATTGTGAATAAAATGGGGATGGTGCGTCAGGTATGGAGGTAAGTGATGGGTTGGAGAGATGGCCGAAGGATAGCTAGGAGGGTAACACTCCGGAGACTGGGGGGTTACCACCACCCTCCGAACACCGGTGTTGTCTTCTATCACCTGGAAGGGAAGGCAGGGAAATGAGCATGTTATGCAGCATCTGAACCAAATGTATTTTTAACACAGCAGCATTTACTGTTTCTTCTCCCACCAGAAAATGGTTAGTCCTTAGATTTATTAATAAACACATTTCTAAAATTAATATCAGCAGAAGTAATCATAGTGGTGATGTGGCTTTTCTTGGAGACTCAGATAGCCACACTAATCACCAGGAGACTTACTGCTGCTAGTGATAACTATGTGGGTAAGAAACAAAATAAATAACCTGTATTTAGGGAATAAAACAATTGAAAAAGGAACACAAAGCACCAAAATAAGAGTACTTATTGGGACCAACCTTACATTCTGCCCATAAAATTCCTACCACCAATTTTGACAGAACTGTGAGTATGGAGTTAGTAACACTTGGAAATTAGCTGGCACTGCTCGTGTGGATAAGCTGCGTGTGCACAGACATGTACTCTGCAGGAAGCTGTTGTGTTGACACGGTTTCAAAAGAATTGCTCTGTTCACAACAGGTATGTGTTCAAGGCAAATCATAAGGCAGGATTTTTCTGCTACAGAGCTTGTCTATACGTCCGTGCAAATCAGCTCTGGAGTATGCATAACTTGGCCCCAAATGCCATAGTCAAAGCATATAAAAACAGATGTAGGAAGGTGGAAATGTGCTTAGGCTGAAAAATGTTTTTCAGCTTATAACTTTTCCAGAGCTATATTTCTGGAGAACAGTCTATCAGCCAAATTTCAGTCCAGGCTTAGGAGCCAAGCCTTTCTTGAAGCTTATTCAAAAAACTTCTGCCATTTCTGGAACTTAAAAATACAACTGTGTAAGAACTAATACTATCTTTGATTCTGTGCATTGATGTGCATAAAGTAGAAAAGCATGAAGGAAACGTTAAGTTAATTTCATACAACAAACAGGCTCTTAAAAATCTAATTTTTTTTTTTTCCTATACTGACTGATGGCACACAGATGGAATAATATATCTAATGAATGTGTTGTATGAGGTAACTGAATGTGCATCAAGGGCAAGTGCAATAAGCTGTTGCCACTCTCCGCTGATTACCATCAAGCTTAGCCGTAGTTACCTACTCTGCCCCATAGCAGCATCAGCAGAGGAGACCCTGCTACAGATCCCCATGCTCCAGTGATGCTTGTCGCATCAGAGTGTCTTAGCCTAAACCACAAATTAAAATTTGCTAATGCTGATTCGCCCTAAAGTGAAGGATTGGCACAGGCACCTGGTTGTTTCTGCTGACTGGTGCACAGACACACGCCCTGTCTAAGAGGCAATGCCCACGGCCATGAGCACTGCTACCTCAAGCATCAGCTGAGCAAGTTACCAAGGGGTAGAATTTAACTAGTATTAGCTGACCCAATATCTTCCCTAGTCCATTCGTGTCCTTAGGTTATATGAATTTACGCCTGTTACCTATGGGCTGCGACCCTGCAAGCAGACAATTTCTGTGGATTGGCTGGCCTCCTCCAGAAGAAAATTTTCTATAGAAAGTCAATTCATTCTTTTGTAACTGATATTTTACATAGAAAAAAAAAAAAAGAAAAAATATGCATTGCTTGCTATGCTGAGTAACCAGGATAGGAATTGTTTAGCATACTTGATTTTAACCTTGAAATTTACAACTTCAGCTACCAATTTGTCATCTGCTAGCTTTACATTTTGGAGACAGAGTCCTCAAAGATGGCTGAACCTCAGAGATGTAGACTTTCCTATCATTTTAACTGCTCCATTTTCTGGCCTCCCATCTCTGTTACTGTTTCTCAACTGGTTCAAACTCCACAGCATCTCTATCCTGGTACCAGGTCTCAAACCTGCACTCTGAAACCTGGAGAAGAGAAATATCCTTTTCCATTCAGCAAATACTCGAAAACCAGAACTTCTTATTTAGGATGGCACACAGGAGTGCTAGACTTAACTCTCTCAGACTTGGATCATGCTCTAATTTGAGACAGCAAGTTCCTACATCCTAATGTGAAAAGTCTTCATTATGACTTAACTAGTCTAAGCCTTGAAGACAACTTCAGTCTTCCAGGCAGGTACAAGCTCTTATCTGTGCTTCTAGACCAGCCTACATGTGTATTTTGTTCTCTAGTGAAAAATTAATGTTAAGGAACAGACTTAGACAGAAAGCTTGCACTGTAGCACCACATAATGTCAACCATATTTAAAATTAAAGATTCCTCTTCCTGAACTATCTTCTAGAGAGCAGGGAGGAAAGCTCTAAGTCCTGTCAAAGACCTTTTCAATGAAATTATCCTGCTAGATGAGACTAAAATATCAGCAGTAGTGAGAAAAAAGATGGAGATGAGGGAATAGAATAGAATATTTCAATTAGAAGGGACCTACAATGATCATCTATTCCAACTCAAAAGTATGAACCAGCCTTCCACATGACTTTCGGCAAAAAGCTAGGAGACTAATATCTTTCATTTGCTTCCTCTCCGGCCAC